ACATGTATCGTTACTCGTAACGATCCAGCGCCCTCGTGGGAAAAATCGTTGACTATAATTCAGACGTTTTATATATATATATATATATACAAGTCTTAATTGAAAACAACGTTCAAACCTATGATTGCGTTGGATAAAAACCGCAATGTTTTACGTGTGCATGCAAAAAACTTTCTTGGTAGAGGGGTCTAACTACAGCACAAACAACATTTTCATGCACCTCATGTTTGCGGTATACCATCTTTTCTGCAAGTTTATTATCTTCTGTTTGGTATTGAATTATTAATTCAGATCCATTTTGTATAATGTAATATATAGATAGAGTAAAAAAATTGAGAATGGAAATGGGGATTATGTCAAAGAGACAACAACCCGACCAAAGAGCAGACAACAGCCGAAGGCCACCAATGGGTCTTCAACGCAGCGAGAAAATCCCACACTCGGAGGTGGTTCTCAGCTGGCCCCTAAATAAAATTGTTTACTAGTTCAGTGAAAATGGACGTCACACTAATCTCCAAAACATATAAATGAACTAAAATTGAAAAACATACAAGACTAATAAAGGCCAGAGGCTCCTGACTTGGGACAGGCACAAAAATGCGGCGGGGTTAAACATGTTTTGTGAGATCTCAACCCTCCCCCTATACCTGTAGGCAATGTAGAATAAAGAAACTCATAGCAATTCGCACAGTAAAATTTCAGTTCAAAAGAAGTCCGAGTCCGATGTCAGAATAGGTAACAAAAGAAACTAAGCAAAATGACAATGATACATAAATGAGCAAAGGACTACTAGCAGTTACTGATATGCCAGCTCCAGACCTCAATTAAACTGATTGAAAGATTATGTCTTCATCATATGAAAATCAAGTACAATCCCTCCCGTTAGGGATTTAGTATCATACCATCATGAGATATATGAGAAGAACATAACCCGTATCATGCCAACAACTGGTTTTAGAATAAATGTGTTTATTTCCGGTGCAGAGACCCTATGAGTGAATCAATATTAATACCAAAATATGCAATCCTTAATGACTTGACAACAGTATCATAACTATATCCTTTCCGAATAAGTCTGTTTAAAGGTTTGGTTAACTTTTGAGGTGAATGCCCACATTTTTGAGCTTTGTAAAGAATATTACCATAAAATATTGGATGTGAAATACCTGAACGTATAAGATGTCTGCATATTGATTTATATTTACGAATGATGTAAATTGTCTTTGTACCGATGATAAAATTTAGTAAATGTTTTGACTAGTTTGTGTTATCGAAAACCCTGGTGTAATAATAATCTCTATATAGAAAATGAATGTGGATGTGTATTTATACATCCCAAAAAACCGTTTGAAAAGAATACAAATTTAGTTAGGTTTTAATTTGCTGATGACAAAATCGATATTTGTGCCAATGTAAACTATATTCAAAGATCTTATTACAACATTGGTAAGATAACCTTTACTGATAAGTTTGTTTAAAGGTTCGATGAGTTTACTCGGATCACATAGTGATTTCCACGCTTTTAGTACAATATTACCGTAAAATTTAGGATCTGAAATACCGTTTTTGATAAGTTTTCTACAGGTACAGCCAAATTTACTAATCAAACTTTTGTATCTATGAAAGAATTTAGTAAAAGTTTAACGTAACTTATGGTAACGAAATCTCTGACTTAATCATTTACCAGTGATGCATTGATTACGTTCTTTCAAATCTATGACACCGCTACACACACGGGCATAACGAACGAGTTGGGATATATAAATACCGTATGATGGAGCCAAAGGAACATCGCCGTCTAAAAAAGGAAAATTAACAATAGGGAATGAAAAATCGTCTCTTTTGTCGTATTTTAGTATGGATTTTCCCTTTAAAAATTGAAATGTCTAAATCTAGAAAAGAAAAACTGCTGTTTATGTGAGATTTATTTAAAGTTTGAATGTACCAACCAAATGAAACAATGACGTGTCTTTACTGAGTTTGGTCATAAACTTAGATTCATAGCAATACAGGAATAAATCTGCTATTAAAGGGGCGCAGTTAGTGCCCGTAGGAATATATACTACCTGTCGATATATTTTATCGCCGAAAGGTAGATATATGTTGTCCAGGAGAAAACTAAAGCTTCATTCACATCTTCACATTTCCAGTAAGTGTATCTAGCATACTTTCCTTTTTCGTTACAGAAAAAGGCTTAAATCGAGTTACAGCAAACAGATTTGCAATTAGATTTTTCAAAAGACCATTTAATTAAATAGGTAAACTTTTTCTTGTTAAGATTGTGTGGAGGTGTAGTGTAGAGACTAGAAAAATCATAACTGTCAACAAAATTAAAAGGACCATCAAAAGCACGTATTTTATCTAAAATCTAATGAATTTTTAACACTTCAAAAATAATTAATACCATATATATAATATATATATATATATATATATTAATGTTGTTTGTGATGTATTTAGACCCCTCTACCAAGAAATTTGTTTTGCATGCACACGTATAAAAATTGCGGTTTTTATCCAACGCAATCGTAGGTTTGAACGTTGTTTTCAATATTGACTTGTTTATATTTTTTCGTTTGGGCCTGTATTATATTTTCCTTCTAGTTAATATTATCCGTTCATCATTTTTCGACTCTTTAAAATTCAAGAGTCTATCCTAATTTGAGGTAAATCATATGGCCTTCCAAATACCGTTTCGATTCCTAACATCACTGAAGAGACATTAAATGTCGAAATCCGGATATGGTGTACAAATTTCTGCACCTCATGTTTGCGGTATACCATCTTTTCCGCAAGTTTATCGTTTTCTGTTTGGTATGAAATTAATAATTAAGATCCATTTATTACATCGGTGATCCGTTTATTTGGCAATCGCCAATGGCAGTCAGCAGGGTTTAAGAACATTTGTTGGTCGACCTGTTAGTCAAATACATTTTGTTAAAATATACTTTTTCACTTTTTTGGTCTTTTGAAAAATGTTGTTTGTGCTGTATTAAGACCCCTCTAACAAGAAATTTGTTTTGCATGCACACGTATAAAAATTGCGGTTTTTATCCAACGCAATCATAGGTTTGAACGTTGTTTTCAATTAAGACTTGTTTATATATATATATATATATATAAGTCTAAAGATTTGCACAACGGTACTAATATAAGATGGTAATATACGAAGATGATGTTATAAAACCGTGTTGACAAATATTTCGGCTTAACAAATAGCCTTTGTCAGTGTCAATAGTTTTTACAATACTAATTGTATGTGTAAAAATAGCTCAGTAATACAGATAAGTTTTGGTCTATTGATTTAATTCCAAATCTTGAACATCATAATTTACAACAAAACTCAATACTCAAATATACGTGACTGTCTATATGTATACCCCATAATGAGTGTAAAATAAAACTGTTAGCATTTCTTATTGATGCCGTTTGGTTGATGTACATTTAGTTCCTTTATCCAAAAGCTCTCCAGAACCTGTCGCTGGGCATCAGTCCAGTGAATGTTCTGTTCAATCACTAGGATTTTCATGCGGTTAAAGTCATCAAGTTTATGACCCGACTGTCTAAAATGCTGAGAAACTGGGAGAAGTGGCTTCTTAGAGATATCACTCCTATGGCCATTGAGGCGTTTGTGGAAAGGCTGCTTTGATTCACCAACATATTGGAGGCCACAAACCGAACATTCTAGAATGTAGATAACATTCATACTTTTGCAAGTAACATTGCAAAATATCTTACAGTTATTTTCGGTTGCCTTACTGTGAAAAGTTGACGAGTGATGCATCTGTGGGCAGCATTTGCAGCGTTTTTCTTCACATTCTAAACAGTAATCATAGTATGAAAAACGCATCGAATTTAATACAGTGTAGCAATTCCTTTTAAGTTTTCATTTCTTTTGGCGGGAAACTTTGAACTGAGACGCAGTAATATATATTGTTCAAACGCGGACCTATTATAAGCACCCAGCAACTGCTCTGAGGGTCTGGATGGATTTTACAGTATAAAGTGTATGAAATATTATTCGTTTTTGCTGCAATTAAAACAAAATTTAAACATTGATATCTCAATGTTATAATATATAGATAATGATACACAAAACGACTCACTCATGTCACTTTACTAGCATGTTGTTTTTAATTACCCCCTTTTTGCACACATCTTTTAAACAAACACAAGTACCAACTATACCTCTGCCAATGTATACCGTACGTGGGTTTTGCTAATCTGTTTAGGATATGTTTTTCTATTTTTTTTTATTTTTTTTTTTGTAGTACTGCACGATATTGCTTCTTCTTTCACCTTTAAGTAATTCACCAACTTAGCGAAGTTATAATTGCGCAACATTAATACAGATGTTTTCATGAATCAGGCAGTACATGTACCAATGAGATTCAATATCTGAGTATGAAGACATTGGTATTTTTGTATCATAGCAGGTGAGAATAGTAGCAAGATTAAAGTCTGGTTGACTACTGCAAAATATTTGGTCTTTGAAGGGGTTTAAGTTCTGTCGTCTTCAAACGATATAAGCAGATGATGAATTGTATGTTTTTGTTCATAACTATTGTGGATTCGATTTAGATACATGCATGATATATTAATGTATGTACGCATTCTTTATTCTTAAATAAAAATTATTTAAAAAATAGACAATCTGATAAACTATTTAAATTGACATTTCAGTCATCAAAGTTTGTTTTAATGAAATAACAGCACAGTTATATTCCTATTTGAATAAAAACATGTGAAGAAATGAATCCTTATTCGTTTCATTAGTTTAAGTGAAATAGTAAAGATTAAAACTTCAGTGATTTTCTGTTCCTTTCAGATCTTATTTTTTGCCTTTATTGATATTATATGGTCAAAGGAAATGAGAAATCGACAAACTGACTCAATAATATATCGACTTTTACAAAACTGACGCAATTTTAATCTCCGATCATAAATCTCATTTTCTCTCTAGTCCGAATATATAGGGAAACATCATAACTTACACTGATCCATTCCATCTATAATCAAGCTTAAATATTTTGATGGGGATGTCTTTGCAGCGTTTTTCTTGGTGTAATAGTACTTTCTTTCTAACCTGCAAAAGAGGAGTGGAAATTAAACATATTAAATTATTACTTTACTGTTTAGCTTGTTTCTATCAAGCAACGTCCACAAATACAACCTGATAAATTGATATTGTAAAATATCTGCTGTTTGATACCAAGGAAATGTTTATTTAAATTTAAATATACAATTTCTTGTTGATAAGTTATGACGCATTTTGAATTTCGGTTGCTGCGCTCACTCGACCACAAAAACTTCATATTGACTGTGACCTGCAGCTATTATTTTACAATAAATATGCATACACCCGTCACTGTAGTACACAAACTTAAATTCTCTTGTAACAACCTTCATTCTGTATTAAAACTTCACTACATAATACTAGTCTCATGTACGTCACCCCATGATAATGTATGCCTTTAAAACCATTTAAAAGGAAATAACATACTGTGAAAGTATGAAGAATACAAAAACTCATAATTAAAGTGCAAAGCTACACGACAACGCCGCTGCTATGTTTATTAAATATGTTACACATGAACATTCAAAAACACATATGTATATATTATACACAACTATATACTTCACACAACATAATACCAAAAAGAAAAAAACAACCCTCCAGTCCTATCAATCTTATCTTATAAATAATAAAAAAGGGGGGACTTATTGAATAAATTAAAATTTACCAAGTGATTAAATGAGATCCGCTCGCTTTGGCGCTGTCGTGCTGAATGACCGAAAATCCAGTTTCGGCGGGAAACTGACCACACGATAGATACGACACCTATATACATCATGAAAGACAAGAGAAAATAATTTCACTCTAATTCACTACGTTCAACCGTATGAAATTATATTAATTAACAGGAGAAACAACCGAGTGAAAGGCCAAGTTCGATAAATATTATTGGCTGTAGCTAGTAAAATAATATTGATTTCTTTTATCATTTTATGTGTAGTAAATATTATAACTTTACTTTGATGTCATATTTGTTAATGACAGATTTACATACATCTGTCTGCTATTGTGTTCTCTTCGTTCAGCTTGCAATTTATCTCTTATCACTGCATCATGTGTGATCTCTATCTGTCTTTCCAAACTTGTACATACTGTGCACTTCGAAAAGGAATTGGTCTGAAAATATTAATACAAGAACAATGTACATTGTACATACTGGCAAATGTTTGCGCTACATTCCAATTACTAATTTGTAACTAACTTAGTTGCATTTTCACATCTTCGTATACGTAAGAAGTCTATAGTTATTCGTTAAATCCACAGTTAACGTTTTGCGAATAATCACATATATAGTGAAAAGTGGTGAAAATTAAACTGTCCAAAATATGTCTGGTTTACAGCACCACCTTTGATTCCTATTGACCCCATATAATGGAATAACGCTATTATTGGTACCAAGGTTTTTGCACGCAAAGGAACGTACACGTTTCAGACCTTATTTTTTCGAATATATTAAGTTTTAACTTGATTAAAGATTTGTGTTTTGATTTAATTACCTTTTTGACTTTAAGATTGGGTAAATATTTTTTCCATATTCCGCAGAAGGCTGATGGCATTAAAAAATTTTCTGATCTTTCCTTCATATCTTCTTTATATCTTATATAAATCATGCACTGTCGTGTCCGATAAGGTAGTAAGAGTGTATTTCAGTATCCTGTCAACGTAATATGTAGCGTATTCTTCCAGCCAGTTTATAGCTTGCAGTGATTTTATGCTGCCACAGTAGTGTCTCTCCGATACAGAAAAACGTGTTCCTTCTATGAACTTTTTTCTATAAGAGTAATAGAAATTTTTGTGAATTCCAAGCATTCTCATCAATGCCTTTGGACAAACTACATGTCCGTTCTGTATACGGAAGTATGGTGTTTACTCCACATTAGTTTCAGAGAACTTTTTTAATATCCACTGGTTTCGACCATTTATTGTCTTTGACCAGAATTCCAATCGCATGTTTTTTACCTCCAAAAGAGAGAATTTCTTCGTACATACTTTACTACAACAGCGGCTACATGACTTTAAATCCTTCTGAATACTTGCTACTTTTGTATGACGAGTAAGCAGACGACTTCTCTCGACTGGATCTACAAAAATGTGATATGATTGTTTTGGTATTAAACTTAAACACTAATTTTATTTATTTATTTATTTATTTATTTATTTATTTTTATTTATTTTTTTTTTTTTTTTTTATTTATTTATTTATACTACATGTGCTACATAAAGACGAATTAAGTGATTTTTTTTTATATTAGATTGATTATAGTATCACCCATAGGTATCCTAGTAAGCTCTCTTTGTTATTTTTCCTTTACTTACAGCTATACGATAATTGGATCACCAAACGTAATCAAATCAATCTTAATGTATTTGAAAAGAAACATGCAATTGACCGTTAGTGTTTCAACCACATGTGATTTAATTAACTGACAAAAGAGAAGATTAACGAATTACATGTAACTGTTACATATGAATACTGATAAAGAACAACTGACCTTCACAAAATAACTGTATAAACCTTAAAGAACACCAATCAACGTTAGCCATACTAAGTACTCATTGAAAAATGATTCTCAAATCATGTTAATTTTTAATAGGATAGTACAAATCATTGCTCTTTATATTAAACACGAAAACAATACGCAATAAATTAAATGAGTCCGAAGCACTTTTCTAGATTTACCTCCATCAAGACCCCACAAAGCCCCGAGAATGTATAAAATGTTAAAAACGATACAGTTGAATAGCTATTTAATCAAAATTCACATAATAATAATAGCCAAATCCTTCAAATTATTCAAACGCCAACTTTGCCTGAGGTAGTTGAAACCCTAATTAGTTTCTTAATAATTTTAAAATTTGAATACTAGTACTTACAACAACTTCATCTCTGAAGAGGCTTTTTATTTAGTAATGATATGTTTGTAATTATGCTTGAAAACACCAAATTTTATTAAGGAAATTCACAACCATTTAATGTACGGAAACAAGTGTATTATCTTTTGACGAGCAAAGGCAAGTTGTATTTCTCTTTCTATTGCTTTCTAAATTATGATAAAAAAAAACACTTACGTGATTGCGATTCAAGCAAAGGTTTTGTTTCTTCTTGGGGAAATGTAGCTCTAACATCATGATACATTTCTGCCATACCAATTGATGCATCTGAATACACTGATACATTTTCATTTATATTGCTTCCTGAGCGAGAAATAACAAGATATGACATTCCTTCAAAACCAGGAGATAGTGACAGTATTTCGGTTGATGCTTGATGAAGTGTTTCCGTATCATCTTCATTGAATTCATAAGGCGACGAAGTGCAAATATCGCTTCTCAGTCTTGTGTTAATTTCTGAACTCATATAACAAGAACTTTCATGTTCACTGCTGGAAATTCCGAACGCTGGTTCTGACTCGACTAAAGTTCTAGTTACCGAATAATCAAACAGTCCGAAGTCATAATTATCATCTGAAATATCTGCCACCTCACTAATCACTGGTATTTTTCTGGTAGTACTAGTCATTAAAGCTTTGTTTCACGATTTTTTAATGTTGTGTCATAATTTACTGCATACTCTTCAAATGACTCTAATGTTTTTGTTTCTAGAATCAATGAAAGGTTGGATTCAGCAGTGATGCTTAAGTCCCCAAAACAATATGAATCAGACTGTCCAAGATTATGTAAATCAGAATCTCCAAGATTATACGAATCCCCTAAATTATGTGGCTCCAACAATGAATCTCCTAATTTAACCCTGTCTTTTTCGGTACAATTCAAACAAACTACTGAGTTTTCCACTGATTCTAACAAATAAGAACCACCAAGATTACTTTAATTTACAAATGTATATTCATCAGTAGCGCTCGATTCATCAGCGAAAACATTCACATCGTTCAAAATTGAATCAACAGGTAAGACTATTTCCGGCACCTGAATGGAGAATGTCAATATCCGTTTCTGAAATGAATCAATAGATTATTATGAACATAAACTAAAAGTTACAATGGATATTTTTGGCCATAATTTATTCACTGAACTCCGGATGTTTTTGTGTTACTATTTTCATGTTTACCCTAGATCTCCTTTTACTCATACGCATAGGGTTAAAATCAGAAAGCTGATGAAGCCTTATAACGTATGAATATTGAAAAGACTAAGTGATACTTATATATTTATATACTGTATACATATAGTGTAAACTTTTTGAAACTGTATTGCATGACTGTTTTACTATTGATAGTTTTGGTTCTTTACGTCTTACTTTACGTAAGTGCGTGTAGGGGAAGAAAAAGGAGGGGAAGAAAAAAACGGGGGGGGGGGGGGGTATTTAGTTCCTCGACGCTACAATGTATCAATCAAATTTTTTTTTCTTCAAAATTTAACACTATAAAGTATGGGGAAAATCAGATGATTCCAATTATTTTTTGTTGTCATCTGCTTGACCACAATAATTTGTTTCCATCAAATTTGGGATCAGCATATTTTTTTAAGAAAAAAATCATGATCCCCTCCCCTTTGAAGTTAAATGATCGTTCCCTTAGAGCTAACTTAGATATTGCGTCCGTGTACCCAAATATAGATTTTCCAAGGCAACGGCAATGACGTAGGTTTTTGACGTCAAACAAATTCCCGTTTTTCTTTTTTCTTCTTGTTTTCGGTTTTCTTGTTTTTGATGTATTTGTTTTTAGTAATCATTATTGAGATTTCAACTTATGGAAATTAGCACATGATATATTTAGTATTAAAAGAGGCAGCAGTTTTAACAGTCTCTTGAGCAAATACTAGAAAATTAAAGAAGTATAAAAAGTCATATAACAAAACAATTGTGGACTTTTGATTTCAGTTGATACCGTTGGCCTCGGTGAATATCACATCTCTGGGTTGATAAATCACTGTATCAACCTCATCAAAAGTCAATAATTAGGAGATAACTGTATTGTATTTTAAGCTCCGACGGCATCAATTGGTGATTTGATGGTCGCAAATTAAGTGTACTGGCGACGCGTTAGCGGAGCCAGTAAAAGGGTATATGCGACCATCAAATTGATGCCATTAGAATTAGTGACGTTATCCAATCAAAATGAACGTTGCAAACGATGTTACATTAGAATTGTATATTGACACGTTTGGGCGCTCTTTAAAAAAGTTGACACGATAGGGCGGTCTTAAAAAGGACACGTTTTGACGCCCTTTATCAACTAGACAAATTTTGCAGATCAGTGACATTGTATGGACACGTTCGAGTGAAATGGGAGAAGTTTCGATGGAGGGATAGACGCGTTCTGAGTGTTTCATATATACATATGTACCGTGCTTTATACTACAGTGCAACATGTTGAGTTGCTAGTGCATTATTTAAGGGGACAAATTTTATAGAATCGGGACGATTTACAGCTTGATTCATATTGTATAGAAACATTTTTGTTGTTGAAGATTTCATGTTGCTCTCGAGATTACTTTTTTGTTATTTTAGTTGTTTAATCATTTTAATGTCTTACTGATGAATAACAAGTATCTCCTTTGTTCATAGTATTTAATGATATATTGATATAATTACTGAAGAGAAATAAAAAGGTTGGTCTAAATTAAATCTTCTGTCTAATATACTAACATTAGAGTCAGTGAACCATCGAAATTACAAATTGATTTATCTTCGGATTACAAAATTTTATAATTGCTTCCTGTTATGTAAAAAAAAATAGTGTTAAAAAACTGGATAAAATCGACAAACTGACCATTCGGCACTTATTTGTATAAAAACGAATTTGTCCGACAGCGCCTTTGTGTACTGCAGTCTAGTTTAACATACACATGTATACGGCGAGTGAAATCACTTTATTTAATAATATTAATTATTTACATGATGATAGTCAACACTTTAATCATAGTTCATAAGTCTAAAGAAATACCGACTATACCATAGCAAAACAAATTAAAAAAGAACAACGGAAAGAACAACGGAAAGAACAAACAACTACCAACTAATTTACAACACTACCTGGAAAATAGAAATGGGGGTTAGCAATACGAGCGCAATAAAAAAAAAACGTATCTTATCGCATGTGCTGGGATACAGAAAACAAAAAACAAAATAGCTGTAGGTCTAAATAAATTCCCTAAATTTTATGTTTTAGAGTTGCCGTTTTGCTTTATTCATACAATATTAGAGAGGCTTATTAAACAATCACCACTGTGCTTTGTTAAATAGATTTCAGACGTTATCCCACTGAATGTGTGGACCGTAGCTTTTAAGTTATGCAATGTCCAGATAAAATGATACAGAAGCTGCACCCCGTGGTGAAAATTGCCGTAAAAGTAATGTATTTATACTAAGTATCCCGATCTATAACGAAAAATCTCACCCGCGATCACATCCTCAAAGCAAGAAAACACTTACATGTAATGCGATTAGATCTCCAATTATAACATTAAGGAGGATTAATACGTTACTATTAACAGGGTTATAAGTCTGTTTTGTGAAAATTCATAACTTGATAAACTTGTCTAAGTGGTTTTTCATGAGATGTCCGCTCCTGTCCATTCTTTTAGCATTTATCATTTGACATCAGTGCCGTTACTAAAAACAAGCTCAGCGTACATTAAAATATACAGTGCTAGGAAATTTTACCGTCACACACTTTAATATCGATGGCCGTAGGGAATTTTATATGAAACGTCGAAAATAGGATAGGAAGGTACAAACATGTGCATTTCCCAGGACATAAATTTTGTATATATAAAGAACAAAGGAAATTTTTAGTCTAGCTACCCACATGTAATTAACAAATCGATGTTTATCCTCAAGAATACCAGATTAAACTTTCTCTGATTTTATCATTTATCAGGTTAATAAAGTCCACCAATTTTCCCTTATCTAAATATTATAGGAAATTATTTTGCATACCCAAAGAAAAGTCATATATGATCGATTTGCATTGATTATGTTAAATTCATTACAAAGGAGTGAAAGATAAAATCACAACAATATAAATGTAAAAAAAGAAGATGCGGTACGATTACAAATAAGACAACTCTCCACAAGAGATCAAATGACACAGACATTAACCACTATATGTCACCATACGGCCTTCAACAATGAGCAAAGTCCATACTGCATAGTCAACAATAAAAGTCCCCGAAATGACAAATGTAAAGCAATTCAAATGAGAAAACCAACGGCGTAATTTATGTACAAAATAAGGATCGAAAAAAAAAAAATGTAACACAGCAACAAACGACAACGTTACCACTGAATTACAGGCTCCTGAATTGGGAAAGGCACATTTAGAATGTGGTCGGACCAAGCATATAAGCGGCCGCCTAACACCCCCCTTTTCTGCCGAGTATATATTCGGTTAAAAAAAAAAAAAACGCCAATAACTACCCACGTGTATCTTTAAGTCTTCTAACATGAATATTTAAAACTTTTAAATATAATAATATATGTGAATCTCTATATTTTTGAATTAATCAGGTTTTTTTAAAAGATATGAATATTTGACTTACCTCTGAAACTGGGTTGCAGTTCTCTCTTATATTCGTCTTGACACCATTTAAAGTCTGAACATATAACAACACGCTTAAACACAAAGCCGACAAAAAAATACAGAAGTCCATTATGTTCACTTCCACACTTTTAACTGGAAATAAACATATTCTTTAAAAATATACATGTAACAAATGTGCACGTGTCTAGCAGGCGTGGCTTCGCAATGCAATTAATTATAACTAGTGGTGAGACATTGTAGCAGTCCACTAATTTTTTTTCTTAATCGAGATCATACGTTCAAATTACGCAATAATGTCGGGTTCAGAGAGATGGAAAATCATGATGGAAAACGGAAGACTTTGTGTAGAGGAAAATGGTAGATATTTTGGAACATCGACAATGTTGGAACAACAAGAGAATTTGGAATTATCAAGATGACTATCTAAAACATTTTAAAGTAATTTACAGTTTTATTTGGTCAATTGTGGATAAGAAAAGCCATCGGGAAAAAAACTATAACCTCAACAAACTTGTATTGAAAGCAAATAAAAATCTTCAATCAGATACGTGAAAGTAAAGAGATACTTTAAAGTATAGTAGATAACTTTCTATCATTTAATTTATATTAAGGACGTCACTAACAAAGTTAGTGCTCTATACTATTATTTCTTAATACATTGTTTTGGAGTTGAAAACATAGGAAACTCTAAAACTATAAACTGAAATAGTAAAACTGTTTTCTTCTTCTATATTAAATGACATCTTCAAATGTTAGGGCTAGTACATTTAGATTTTGAATTCCTTGACATCATTTCAGTGTTTCAGACAAAATCATTTATTGATCTTGTACATCTCTCTACATACATATCTCAACTCTCGTTTTCAGAATGAAGTTTACTTTTATAAATGTAAAGGCATATTATTTATTACATTTACACTGTTTGAAGTAACAACGGTTCATTTTATTGTGGAACGGTCATACAATTCACATTTGTTTTTATTTTAGACTTAACACAATATGAATCAATACATGCATATTAGTTTACGTCAATACAGAAATATGACTTGTTGGCTTCATGTTCTATGTTTGTTAACGTCCACAAAACACATGATTTGTTCTTATAATTTAAGTTTACACATGAATCTGGAAAAGCGAAAATGCATAGTTTGAAAAACTTATGCGAAGGTCTTGGTTTTGGGCCAGCTGTCAAGACTCGTTCAGGTTTTATGAAAATATGGGACTCATTGAAAGGTGAGAAATGTAAATTTAATGTGTTTTGTTCTTGTATCATGTGTATATAGCTACTTAAGGATGTTCGCTACTCTTGTTTTTGACTTTTTGTCAGATATTCGGAATCCTCTAGTTTTATCCATGTAGTACCAATGAAAAAAAATCCTACTAACCCTTACTTTTCTATTCATATTTTTATTACATATAGTTTAACTAGTCATTTATGAAAGTCTTATACAATTCTTGTTATTTTTTCATAGTGTTTGAAAGAAAAAGGTACCAATGTTAAATGTATGAACAGTCTAGAGAGAATTGTTTCACGCCAAATTTTCAATTGATTATATCTCAAAAACAAAGTCGCGGACCTATAATTTTTTCCTGCTTTTTAGGTGCAGTTATTTATATACTATCAATTTATAACAGTTGATTAAAAAGCTAGTTATTTTTAAAAAGAGGAGAGAACATCCTTAATCGAACTTTAAAGTTGTTGTCGTCGATAATTTGAACATTGAAGAGCGACCAATACTTAAACAAATCATTATACAATAAGATGGATACGTAGTTTATTATTTGATGGACTTTTTGGCGATGTCAAGTGGCTGATATTGTTATAAAAAAGTGACTTCCATGAACAAACATTGATAATTCCTTATTTCCATGACAAGTAATCCTCGCTCAAAACTCCGATGGACCTCCTACGGCACCCATTAGTACATGTAGTTAAAGATTTGATTTCATTCAAAATTAATTTATGACCTGCATGCACGTGTCGCTTAGAACACGGCTATGTACCAAAGGTCAATATTTATCATCCGTGTAATTGTTCTATATGGGATGTTTGCAAAATTTAAACGGAGGCAATTTCTTGGCATGATAGTATTAATAAGCATTTTATTCGTATCTTTGTTAAGTCTTATGCGTTTGTATTTGTGTGTGTTTTGTTTCGTGATAGGAGGAAAAAAAAGTAAAAAAGGTGTGTGTGTGTGTGTGTGTGTGTGTGTGGGGGGGGGGGGGGGTGATATTTGGGGGGGGGGGGGGGGGTGGTCTTTGCCTACTACAATGTATTAGTAGCGTGTGAGAGTGTGCTTTCCTATGTTTATTTGTCCAATTGAACTATTTTTTTTTACTGAAGAATATGACTGTATCAAACAAGTTTTCACTCTATAATTTTACAGCAAACGTAGACAATTATCAACTACAGACATCTTCAACAGATAACATTGATCAGTCGGAGAACCAAGTTAACATGAATATTTCAGGTAGATGTGATTCTTTTGATACATATTTAATATTTACACACGCTTTCGTGAAATCAAGTTCATCCATTTGTATAATAAAAACCGGATTGAAGAACTCTTACCTTAATCAATAAGATTAATTCATATTTCATAAATAAAAGGAGTTATGGTATACTACTATACGTATATGAGATGACAAATAACGATTCTAGAGGTCCTATTATCTCCGTATTACATTTACGAATATTTTTTTTTAAATTGCATCTTCACTTATCCGCACAAACCCCCTTTTAGATCCGCCACTGAAATACCAAACAATGTTCGGGGGGGAAAGCAATATGATTACGGGAATTTAATAAAAAAGATGCAGTTAGGGAATGATGAGCTGCGTAAACTTGAAACTTGAAACGCCGTATCCGTACAATCTTCAACAATTATTGACAAGCCGTCTATACGGACAAAAGGCCAATCATTAAATTTGGTCTTAACTATACATGCTGAACAGAGATTGGTTTTGTTTCTGTTATAGTTAAGAGTTTTTTTACTATTCACTTAGTATATGTAAGAGAATGATAATCCCTTTCTTCATGATTAAGTACGAGCGTTAGCGAGTACTTATCATGAAGTAAGGGATTATCATTCTCTTACAAACTTAGAATATTGTAAAGTGCTCAAGGCTCAAATGGTCTATTCAAAAATTAGTTTCATTGCCAGTGCAATGTTTATAATTGATGCATGACTTCCTTTTTCGGCATGTCATTTATAGATAGTTTTAGTGAAGTGAGGACTTTCTTATCATTTGGGAAATATTTAAAAAAAAAATGCGTTATAGATATTAGGTGACACAACAGTAGAAAGAAAAGATAGGAATTGTATGTTTCCTGATTGTGAGTTTGAATGTAAATCATGTAATATTTTAGTGAGGAATTATCCTTTTTTTTATTTACAGTTTAAACCAATTAATACATTTGAGTTACAACTAAATTTTATTTTACAGCCAATATTTTGGTCCGGCTTTTTACATCAAATACTGTTTCATTATGTCAGGGAAATGTTCAAAAATAGTGCCCTTAAAAGTTTTTAATATGTTAAAAATTAAATTCCTGTTTTGTTTATCGGAATACATGTATTTGAAATAACTATTTTCCCCAACCGCTGATCTAGTAATCAAAGTTTTGGAAAGCTAAAGATTTAGGTTATTTTTTATCTGAAAGATTTTTTTTCTTTTTTTTTCATATTGGTATTGTTTAGTTTTATAGTAATTTGAAGTTATTAATATTTTCATAATAACATTTACGGTACCAATTTTACTGCACCAGTAAACTAACTTATTTTGAGATTTTTGTTTGTTTCACAATTCAACTTTTAGTCAGTTTCAATCACTGTGTGATAAATTCTTTCAATCTGATAAATGTGCTTCGGGGCAGTTGTAACTCATTTATAGAAACTCTTTGTTTTGAACTGTAAATAGACCCAAATAATAGAATAATCCCTTACTAAGAACATGATTTACATTCATTCTTCACAATTAAGAGGCATCCAATCCTACAATTTCATTGGTCGAGAGTACTTTGCTATATTCTAAATCATATTAGAATATAGCAAAGTGCTCTCGACCCATTATGAAATTGTAGGATTTGGTGTTTCTTAATTGTGAAGAATGAATGAAATCATGTTCTTAGTAAGGGATTATCCTATTGTTTAGGCCTACTTACAGTTCAAATCAAAGAGTTTCTATAAATGAGTTAGAAATGCCCCGAAGCACATTTATCAGCTTGAAAGAATTTGTGATTAAAACTGACTAAAAGTTGAATTTTGAAACAAAAACAAAAAAATCAAAATTAGATGAAGTTTACTGGTGCAGTAACATTTAAATCCCGGAGGTCATGTTTTGACATATGTGTATTAGTTCGAGATACATAATGAATTTTGAATGCCTTTGTTTACCTTAGGACCGTAAATTTAGTTCGACTCAACCGAAATTTCGACTCATCCAATTTCGACTCATCAGAAGTCTAAATACATATATTTATATGGAACAAAGTTCGGGACCACGAGAAAACTTCGACTCATCCGAAATTTCGAGTCAACCGAGTTCGAGACAACGAGAGTTAACTGTATTTTAAAGGCATTGTATTTGATCATTTCCCTGACATAATGATGTAGTATTTGATGTAAAGGACTGGACTAAAATATTGGCTGTAAAATAAAATTTATTTGTAACTCAAATTTTGAATTTATTGATTTGAAATGGAAATAAACAAAAAGATAATTCCTCTATAAAATATTACATGATTTACATTCATACTCACAATCAAGAAACATTTCTTACCATTTCATTGTACTGTTGTGTCATCTAATGTATAAAACATAATTTATTATATTTTCCAAAATTATAAGAAGGTCCTTACATCACTAAAACTAATCCATAAATGAAATCATGCCTAAAAAGGAAGTCATGCATTAATTACAAACATTGCACTGATAATGAAGCTAATTCTTAAATGCAACCAATCAAGAGATCATTTAAGCTTTGAGCACTTTACAATATTCTAAGTTTGTAAGAGAATGATAATCCCTTACTTCATGATAATTACTCGCTAACGCTCGTACTTAATCATGAAGAAAGGGATTATCATTCTCTTACATATACATATAGCGGCATGTGGTCAATTTTATTCGTTGAACTTAGTTCTAAAGCATGAAACATGACGCGGACGTCACGATTTTGTTCGAGTATCCAGTCAAAAAAGATGCAAGAAATTAATAAAAAAATTTTACAAAAGATAGATTAAAAGATCAACATTATTTTGTTTGCAAAGTTCCATTCTAGTGATGTGACAAATACGTAAAATTTAATTTAAGATAATTCATTTTTTTCTGTGAATAGATGTACCAGGAGGAGACGATTCAACCAGCACTGACGATAACGTAAAACATTGGATAATGTGCAAAGAAAATCTTCAACGCCAATATCTCCAGTCCAAACGAAATTATTGTCACCAATGGACAGTTCTGAAGGTATATTTTAATCCTCCTTCTAGCACACAATTAATCTGCTACGTAGTAAAGCAAGCACTTAATAGTCATGTGAATTTGGCAAACAAAAATTAATAGTAAACAAAATATGTATGCAAGGAACATAAAATCAATTGTACTTAAATAGATTTGCTTTTACAATCATGCTGGAAGAGACCACGAACCAGTTAAAAAATGTTAATGAAAATTCTGTACTATTTGAATAAAAACCATAATTACGATGCGAAAATTTTATATATTTTTTTATTTTTGCAACAGATGCATCGACAGTTGAAGATATTCTAGAACGTAGCGTTAGTTCTTGCACTGAAGCGCATATAAATACAGAAGACGCTTCCGATAGCACACCAGTTACAGTAGAGCGGTCAATTTTGGACGATTATTTAATAGGTATGATATACCTTTAAGTTAATTATCTTCATTCTCTTAAAAGGAGCTACTCATGGTATGAGAAGTATAGGAACTTTTTCGTTGTTGAAGGCCGTACGATGACCTACAGTTGTTAATTTCTGTGTCATTTGGCCTCTTGTGGAGAGTTGTCTCATTGGCAATCATACCATATCTTCTTTTCTATATGTGTCTGTTATTTTTCAGTGTTCATTGATTGAGATAATGTGCCGTGGGAACATTCGCGCAAAATGACTTCGCCAAATATCAATGTTTTATCTCTGGTCGCTGTTTTTGTTTAATGACCATTTAAGAAAAAAAAAGGTGAATGTGTTGAATGTGTTGAATGTTAGATGTCCAGTGGAAACTATTATAAGCTATGTGTCTATCCAACAAGCTGAGCCAAGGCTTTATTCGTTATGTGATAGTCCAGAAAAAGAGTCATCATACAAGGACACATTATTCTGACTTCGAGACTATTAGTTTCTCAGCGGAGAAGCCGCAGATATCAATTTTCAAGTCGACGATGACGATGATGGTGATGTCCAGTGGCAAATATGACAGGCATATAAGGATGATTGAGTGTCAATGTTTAATTTATACACTGTTGTACTAGAAAGGCACGATGGATCGTGTTTTAACCCAATACTTCACATTTCTTTTCTTTTACTACGAAATGTTGCATGTTTGGCGAAGAAGATGCTACGAAAAATGTTCAAGTCTTAGTTTTGAACAAACTTGGGGATCAAACACACGACTGCAAGGATCACTTCCACAAGCAAGACCACCTAGGAGGTATTTATACGGGTACTGGAACTATACCCATATCAAAGTTCAGAAATATTACTTTTAATCAAATGTTCAAACACTCTCATTAAATGAACAACATATATTTTATATATTTTGAATTGTTAATTTTCCATTCTAAAATGATAGCATTTGTTTTCTTTTAGGAGAAGCATTAAAAGTACATATTCAGAATTTAGTTATACATTTGTGTACCTACCGAGGATCGCTGTTTTCGAAATCTGGACACGAAACATGCTCAGTGTCTAAAACAGTTTTATGAAAATCAACAAATGTGTCATACAATTCTCATTGGAAACATTGTCAGCGAGGTTACTACTGATAAAGATAAATTGTCAAAGTTTCTTCAAGAACCTGGCAAAGTAGCAGTTGAAACTTTAGGTGGTAATCATACAAGGCATGCGCTACAATGTTTATTCGCAAGCCAAACAAAACCTATTAGCATGGTAACCTGTCGGTTATACAACCAATTACCAGACGAGTTGGCGCTACAATTAGGATATGAACACGATGCATCTAATACATTAGGAAATCCGACAAGTTTTGTTGATTTAGTAAAAGTGTTTCGAAAAGAAGCAGCAAAAATAGTAGGAGACACAGATATTAACTGCATGCAAAGTAGTGAAGTAAAGCAATGGAATTTCAAAGATATAATATGTACCATTCTAGGGATGTACAGAAAGGCGGAAGAATTTCATAACAAATACAAGGTTGTTTTGAAAATTGCAAAATCAAAGGATTCAGTATGGGGAAAATTCTTAGATTTCTGTTCCGCTTTCGAAATGAATGAAATAAGAAATACTCCAAGAGGTTCCTTAAAGGTTACACAGTTGAGAGATTTTTCAATGCTTTCTAGTGATAACCAAATACATATTTTGGAAAAGACAAAAGACTGGAGAGTATTTAAGAGAGAAGTAGAAAGGTAAATAAATACATATCATGTCGTGTGCACTGTTAAAAGTTTTCACTGCCTTACATGGTTTTCTCAAATGTTGATTTTATATTTGTAAATGAACGATACTTCCTTATCATTAATTGTTCATTTGTTGGTTTGTAAAATATGCTTCATAAAAAAGGCATTCAACTGATTTTTATAGTTCGTTCTTATGTTGTACTGTTACACCACTGTCCCAGGTTAGGGGGAGGGTTGGGATCCCGCTAACATTTTTAACCCCGCCACAGTCTGTATGTATGTGCCTGTCCCAAGTCAAGAGCCTGTAATTCAGTGGTTATCGTTTCTTTATGTGTTACATATTTGTTTTTCGTTCATTTTTTTTTTACATAAATTAGGCCGCTAGTTTTCTCGTTTGAATTGTTTTACATTGTCATTTCGGGGCCTTTTATAGCTGACTGTGCGGTATGGGCTTTGCTCATTGTTGAAGGCCGTACGGTGACCTATAGTTGTTAATTTCTGTGTCATTTGGTCTCTTGTGGAGAGTTGTCTCATTGGCAATCATACCACATCTTCGTTTTATATATTCAGCATACATTTACGTTCGTGAAGATCGGGAATATTATAAAAAAAGACCCGTGACTTTTTTAATTTCATTCACAGTTAAAGGAAAAATTGGAGCATTTCATCGGCCTTGAGGAAACTCATTTGTAATGTTATGATATTAAAAATTAGTAATGAAAAAAGGAATGTACACACCAATTTTCAAAGATTTATCACCTATAAAATCGTTCACGAAAATAAAACATACAAAAAAACCCAATAAACGCTTAGACAAGAATAAAGGAAATGTGCAGCCAATGTCAATGAGACAGCAACCAAACGACACAAATAAACAAAATTTATCTAGAGACACCAAATAGCCTTAAAAATATAGACGGTCTCCATGTAATTTGTCAAGCTCTTAATTGTCCATTCTATACATGTTGTGAACATGGTGAATAAGTTAAACAGAAACTACCAAATATCTTTCATGTACACCGTTTTATCGAAATCACTAAAAAAATGCCGGTTTATTTGTGAAATGTCAATCGCAAAGTCATCTCGTCAACCTTTTTCGATAGGTCGGGTATTTGGTGGTTGATGTAGACTGCAGCCTTGTAATTTTGTAAACTTGTGTTGTTTTAATGTATTATTGAGATACAAGTGCAATTTCAAAGATCTCATCGATATTTATGGTAATTAGCCCGCCTTTCATTTAAAAAAAAACCCGGTATATTGAAATAAAACAGAAAATAGCTCGCACTGTACTTATATCAGTAATGAGTTACCGACTTAGATAATATCACTGGATTTATTTTGTAGTGTAAGTTCAGGTCGGAAGAAAACAATTGGGAAAACGAAAGCAGATCCGTCAGATGTTGACAGAAAGATCAATGATAAGTATGTTGGCACTTTAAACGAACATACAGAATAAGTTGCATGTATCCATTGATGACAATTTTTTTTCTCAATTTCATCATTTCACGGGAATTCCAAATGTCATTGATGTATATGAGTGCGTACTTTATTGTTTGAACTTCATTTTGGTGCATTTCCGAACGTGCATCTAAATTATAAATCCCTACTGATGACACACTACTGCCATTTTGATTTATTTTCGTTTACGATATTATTTTAAAACTGCTTTTTGTTAATTATTGTTAAGAGATAATTTAAAAATTTTATGGTTGTAATTTATTGATGAAATTTTAAACATTACATACCAGTCTCTTAAATTTCTATTGCCAGCAGGTTTAACTTTAATCAGGGAATCAGTCACACCTCTTTCATAACAAGCATTTAAAATGTGTCTTTGCTAATTCTATATAACCTATTAAATAATTGAGCATTTCATTATATTTATCTAGTGAGTCTAAAATTAAACAACTGATGACTGCAGATAATGAAAAATTGGCAACTACTTTATCCACATTAAAATCAAAGTTGACAGAAGAACAAAAGAAAAAAAAGGACTTTGAGACATTGTTGAATCAAGAAAGGAAAAAATGCAGTGCACTTGAAATTAAATTACAGCAACTGAGGAGATCAGAGAATGAACTCAAAGTTGTCTTGGATAAGCAGATTGATAAAAATGAAAAATCTAGTAATCTGCTACAAGTTGAAAAAACAAAATATCAAACACTGGAAGAATTGTACAATAAATTGGTAAGTTGAATACTTAGTTTTTATAGGGCTGTAATAGCCCTCAGACAAAACGCTTGTTATTTTGTTGATAATATGTGGAATAATATTCTGCATCAGACTTCTGATAGTTATCAGATCACAATAATGATGCATGAAGAGTTGTATTTTATATGAAGTCAATTGACCATTCAGTCTGTTGATCTTTATATTGCATTACATAATTAGTCAAACATCTTTATCAGCTTAGAATAAATACGAGAGACAACAAAGAAAAATAGACTCTATTGTAAGTTTTATTACCTACGTATATTAACCTTAAAATGCAAAATGTCCTTTATTTTTTTGTTAATTGTTTTACATTTGTCATTTCGGGGCTTTGTATAGCTGACTATGCGGTATGGGCTTTGCTCATTGTTGAAGGGCGCACGGTGACCTATAGCTGTTTATTTCTTTGTCATTTGGTCTCATTGGCAATCATATTACTAATTCTTTTTATATTTAGACAGTGTTATTTTTCATTTGTTGAACCCTTGATATTAACTTTGTTGATCTGATTGTACGTAATTGACTTAAAATCTGGAGTTGTGTACGGAATTCTTCTTTCAGTGTAAGTGACAAAATAATTTTGACCCCTGTGTTCATATTTTTTCACTTTCTTATTTGGTCAGATTCTTTTAATCATATGCATTTGCTTTACAAATGAATGTCAGTTTTTCATTCGATAATTTAACAGTTTTTCCTATTTATTATATTTTATTATAAATTTTAGTTCTAACTTGTGTATCGTTACGTTTGTTGACTATTATATATATTATTCTATGTCAAGTGTACGTAAAATTTTTCAATATAGATTTTTATATTAAGTTTGTTTGCTGTTAATGACTACATATTACTGTTACTGTGTCGTGCCATTGTCATTAGAAAACTTTTAATAATATCACTTTGTACACAGAATATTTTTTTATATATTTACAGGTATCTGGTGGATTATTGACTCCAAAACAAAAACTAACAACTGACTGTAGTGACAACTTGAACAAGAAGAAAAGGAGGATGAGTTCAAAGGTAAATAAAAAAACAAAAAAAGTGTACAAATAACTATAACAATATCT